CGCGTCGTCATCGGGATCGTGTCGTCCTCGATGCGACTGAGCTGCATTCGCTCGCTCTCCTCGGCGATGATCTTATCGCACGCCTCCTCGAGCGCCTCGATGCGCTGCATAGTCTCCTCCCCATTTGGATCGTTCCTCGGATCAACCTTGTGCACGAGCTCGCTCGCGAAGTGCTTGAATCCCTTGGCGAACTCATACATGTTGTTGCAGTTCAACATGATGCGCGCGCTGAGGCCGCGACGAATTTTCACCACGCCCTTAAATACGTTTACGTTTCCGTAACACTCAGCCAGGGTCGCTATGGCCATGACTTGCGGGATGGCGCAGAATCGAAAGATGGAAGGCTCCTTGATCCGTCCCATGTACTTCAAGCAGTCCGTCGTGTGCGACAGCGCGTTCGTGATGAGCTCGTTCATGCACTGCACCGCTTTTTCATGATTCTCCTCGTGCTGCAACTCGTCGAGCTCCTTGGCGTACTTGCTCCACACGCTTCTGGGCCAGAACATTCGAGGCGCCGGGAGCTCCTGAATATCTTCCAGATAATCGCGAATAATGTTCGTCTTCTGTAAGAATAATCCCATGGCGTTCGAGAGCTTCTCCTCGCCGATGAACTCCTCGCTCTCCATCTTTGAGGCGCCCCACAGGTTGGACAACCCGATGCCGACCAAACCCGCGACGTAGTGGCAATACTCGTCGAAATCCGACATATCCATCACCTCCTTCTCGATGAACTTTGCCATGCCCGCGCCCATCCTCCTCGCGATGTCCGCGATGACGTCTCTATACGGCTTTTTCAGCTTCAAAAAGACGCTCGTCACGCGCGGATAATTCATCATCAAATCCCTGTAATGTTTCTCCCCGCACTCCGTGGAATACTTTGGGTCAAAGATGTACTCGTGAAAATCATACAACTGCGGCAACTTTTCATCGATCGGAATCGACATGTCGTCCTCCACCGTGTCCAGCGCGCGCAGCGCGAGATAAAACACGCACACCGCGTCCCGCAGCTCCTCGTCGAGCTGTTGAATCACGATCGCGAACGATCTCGACACTTTATTCAGGACGTCGTAGCAGTACGCCAGATTCGCATCTCTGGGCAATCGCTTCGCCCGGTTCGCCATCATCGCCACCCGGAGCAGCGACGGGACGTCCCCGGGATGGGTCAGAATCATCCCGAGCGCTCCCATGACCGGTCGCGCGCCGTCACCGCGCCGCGTCGCCGTCGCGTCGCCCTCGCGCGCACGTCGCGCGTCGTCGTCGCGCCGCACCGCCGCGCCGACGCCGACGCGGTGCGCACACACCTCTACATTCATCCACACTACGATACCATATGCCGTACACGCACCAAAAACCACCGATCACGCGGACGCACACGATCGCGCCCACGCGGTACGCACACACCTCTATACCCATCCACACTACGATACCATATGCCGTACACACACCCAAAACCACCGATCACGCGGACACACACGCGATCGCGATCGCGCGCGTGGGAGATCTTTGGATAGACCCACGAGTGATGACCCGTCGCGACCCCCTCGCCAGCGGTGGCGCCGCGGCACGGGATAAGGCTCCGTCGCGTGTGGATGTGATAAAAACACCTAAATACCGTTCGATCGACCTCGAGTACGACGACCGCGCCTCGACGTGACGACGTCGACGACCGCGCGATCGCGCGCGAGGACGGACGACGCGTCACACGCGCGCGCGCACGACGCCACGCGCACGACGACCGACGGCGAGGCGACTGCGGTGGTGATCGCGCACGTCGGCCGCGCGAGCGATGTCGGGGACGACGCGCGCGTTGGCGTTTCGAGGCGTGGGTTCGACCACGGTGCGTGCGATCGCGTGCGCGGTGTGGTGGCGACGACGACGGGACGTTTGGATGGGTCCGAGGACGCGTGGGGGGGTGGGATGGGTGGTGGTGCTCGTGGTGGTCGCTCGGGACGCGGGCGTGGCGGCTCGGACGCGGGTGGGGGGAGAGAGACGG